TGTTTCCTTGACAGTATCTACAGGACTGTTGGACAGAACAGATTCTCAAGTCTCTATTGCTATTTGTCCCTTACATTTTAAACTGCAATTTAACTTTCACTCATTTATTGTTATTTTAGGTGTGTGTAGTGCTGTGGATGTGTGTTGTGGATGTGTGCTGTGGATGTGTGTGAGGTGCCCACAGCCAGTCTGTCTGCTTGCAGTTCAAAGACAGCCTCCAGAGTTGGGGAATCAGTTCTCTCCTGCCACCTTGTGGATTCGGGGATGAGGTGCAGTTCATCAGCCCCGTGTGCAAGTGCCTCTACCCACTCAGTCATCTCGTTGACCCTCTTATTGTGTTTTTAAGTTAATTTAATCCCCGCTCAGAAAATTCTAATGAATAAATTAAAATAGGCAAAAGATCTAGAAATAGACATTTCTCTGAAGACACATAAATGGCCAATAAGCACACAAAATACATTTAACATCATCAATCCCAAAAAAGATAAAACATATTAGCTGTGGCAGTATGAGTCTTTAATCCCAGCATTCAGGGGGCAGAGGCAGATGGATCTCTGTGAGTTTGAGGCCAGCCTGGTCTTCTACATAGAGAGTTCCAGGACAGCCAGGGATACATAGTGAGAACTTGTTTTAAAAAAATTAAATACATCTTCTCTTGTATGCATACAGAACCTAAGATTTAAAAATCCATGTGCTTGTAGCAATACCTACATGTGTATTTATATGTCTGGATGGGTCATGAAACAAGAAAGGGAATTAATTATGAGAGGGAAGGGAGAAATCTTTTTAAATATAATTTTATTAATTCTTTGAGAATGTTCTACTATGTTTTCCAATCATTTACTCCCCAGTCCTTCCTGTAACGCCTCCCAGATCCACTCCATCCCCAGCTAATCTAAAACATAATACTAAAAAGAAAAACTAAAAACTTCAAGATGATACCCCTACACACCCAGAAGAGTAATTAATCAAAGCATCAAGCAGTAGCAAGTGGTGGCAGAAATAAGAAAGAATAAGAACTTACAGTAGCAGAGTTCTTAAATGATTGGTCCCTGTGTAAAACAACGCCTCTGTTCCTTAAATGATTCCTCAGAGCTGACCGTGAACCAGAAGTTCAATTCCTAGCTATAGAGAAATGGGTTGGAGAGATGGCTAAGTGGTTAAGAGCACCAGCTGCTATCCAGAGGACCCAGGTTCAATTCCCAGCATCCACATGGCAGCTCACAACTGTCTGTAACTCCATTTCCAGGGGATCTGACACCTTCACACAGACATACATGCAGGAAAAACACAAGTGCACATAAAATAAAATAAAGTCATTTAAAAAATAGAGAAATGAAAGACTATTCACAGAAAGTTTGTGCATGGGTATTGATAGCTGCGTTATTGAAAATCAAACAGCACAGAGCCCATGAAAAGGGTGTGCAGACAAACAGAATGTGGCATTTCCATACAGCGGAATATTATTTGGCAACAGAAAATTATCAGGTACTGCAACATGAAAGAGTCCAGACAAAATGGAACACACATGTGATTCTAATAAGAAATACCCAAGTGCTAGGTTACAGAGGTCTGCCACCAATTCAAACTGTCCCTGTGAAATCCTTTTTTGGTTTTGTTTTGTTTTTTGTTTTTTTGTTTTGAAACAGGGTTGGGACTGGAGAGATGGCTCAGAGGTTAAGAGCACTGGCTGCTCTTCCA